AAGGCACCGGATCCGCACAAGCGATTGTCACAGTCGACACTGTGAACGGCGGCCTGCTTTTATGCGGCGACGTCACCAACGACCGGAAAATCGACGACACTGGTGCTTCAACGTCATACTACGATCCTCGCGACGCCTACGTGATGCATCTTGACGACGACGGCAACAAGGAGTGGGAGACGTACCTCCGCCACGCGTCCAACGAGGAGTTCCGCGCATGTACAGTTGGCGCAGACGGCAGCATCTACGCCGCCGGCTTCACAACCGGCAGCCTGTACGGTGACACGAACCAAGGTGGTGACAGCGACGCCTTGGTCGTCAAGTTTGACAGCAATGGCACGTTCCTTTGGGGCAAGACGCACGGTGGCGATGCCCGGGACCAGTTCTACAGCATTGCCGTGTCGAGCAGCGGTGAAGTGTTTGTGGCCGGTCTAAGCGACAGCAGCAGCGCGCTCGGCAACCCGCCCAAAGGGAGTGTGGACAGCGTCTTTGCCCGCTTGAGCGCGGACGACGGCAGCATCGTGTGGGCATCCGACGAGCTTGCTACAAGCGGTGGCGACTATGGATTCACCGTGCTTGTTGACGATGCTGGCAACGCCGTGTTTTTCGGCGCGGCCTTCGGCGATGTTCTCGGGCAAACGCAGGATTCCGAAGTTGATCTCGTCGTTGCTGCCGCTAGACCCTCGGATGGCTCGATCATGTGGGGCGAGCTTGTCAGAACGGGACACGGTGCTGGAAGAGAGTTCATGCGTGGCGCACGCAGCAACAACGGCCGCATTGTTGCTGGCGGCTATCGTACTGGAGATGGAACGCTTGACGATCAGGACATAGCCCTGGTCCGCTTCTACGGACCAAACCCTTGAGCGTACGGCGTCTGCGGGCGCATGGTTGTGTGTTTGTCTGCTTGTTTCTTGCTTGTGTCAATACGCATGAGTGCTTAGTTGTTTGTGTGCGTGTGTGGGTGTGTTTGCGCATGTTTCTACGACACGCCGACGTGAGTGTGTGTGTGTGTGTCTGTGTGTACAAGGTGAAGAGTCATCACATCACTTTGTTTTCTCTGTATTTGAATCGGAAATATGTTTTGGCTGTGATTGATTTACGCTCTCAGTAATTATTGAATGAACCAAAGTGTAAGGGAAGCACACCCAAAGTGTTAGGGAAGCACACTTGACAATCTCAACTTTACACTGTGGCATGATGCGATGTGATGTCACAAACCCAGAACACCTACACCCATGCAAACATGAACGCAAGAAAGCAGTCGCTCCCCAATGCTATGTCGTTGTGTTTGTATTTCACTTCATGTCAGTCAAGGGCAAGCAAAGGAAACGGATGCAAATGGAAGAGCAGAGTACCCGCAGTAACGTGCACCGCAGTTCAACAACACCAACAAACCAAGAACGATCACCACAATGAGAAAGGGGAAGAGAGAAAGGACAGCGGAGCGACCGCAGCAAACAAAACAGCCACACCAATCTAAGGCAAATGCACTGTGCACATAGGTACGATATCAAGACAGAGAGAAAGCTACATGTATCTCAGCTGTCAGTCATCGCCAGCCTCACTGCTGTCCACAATCTCGTCACTGTCGGGCCCACTAGAAACAGATGGTGCGCGCACACAACACAAAACAGCCGTGTTGTTGTGCGCGTATTCGCCGTCACACACACACACACACACACACACACACACACACACACACACACACACACACACGACACGCCCACCCCCTGGTTACTACACGCGTCCTGCTACTCTCCAGAATCACCGCCACCAAAAACGATGCCACGCTCATCGCAGCTTTGTCAGCCCCTTGAACACGACGTCCTCCGGTTTGCCTGCAAGCACGAACCGCTGGCCGTCTGTAAAGTCGAGTGCGAGCGAGCTGATCTTGTGCGACGCGCCGGCTGCCTGCGCCTCAATGCTGCACATGGCCGAGTCCTTTGGGCCGTGCAGCTGGAACATCATCTGCAGCCCACCTGGTGTCAGGCAAAGCGCGCGCGTGTGTGAGTTGGACGGGAGGGGGGGGGGGATGGGAGTGGGACGTGTGGAGGTATGTCAGAGACCACAAATTGCAGCAAGCGTGAGCGAAGCCAAGCCTCAAGGCGAAACACGGACACAGGCATAGAAACAAGGACACAAGGACACAAGGACACAAGGATACAAGGACACAAGGATCCGAAGATACAAGGACACATACATACACACACACACAACGTACTCTTCTCGTGTTTAATGCGTGGGAGCCACTTGGTCGTGTCGAGAATCAAGCCGCCTGCCAAGCGAGAACAACATGGCGTGTCAACATGACATAAACACCCAACAGTTCACACATGTACGCGCGTCTCATCATTGCCATCCCTATCACGGCCGTGCCCCAGCATCACTACGTCTCTGTCAGCGTCCCGCACCTGTTGGTGCGTATGCTTTGAACTGGCCCACAGACATGCGTCCACCTGGTGATGGTGGTTCAAAGCGTGGGGTTGAAGTGGAGAGTCCAAGAACGAGTGCGTTGCACCATGAGCGAGGAGATGATGAGCAGAGCAACGAACCAGCTGTTTTCCTCGCACACAACGCAGCACACATACACACACACACACACACACACAGACTTGCACGCACGCCCAACAAGCGCACTCAATCATACCAGCACTCAGCACTCAGCACCCACACACACACTCACAAACATGCACCCACACATAATCACAAACATGCACACACATTAAACACGCACCAAACTTGTCGACAACAACCGGGGTCTTGGATACACGTCGCAACACGTCCTTGTACAGCGCCTCCGGGTGAAGCCCGCAGTAGCGGCGATACAGGATGGCAAAGCCAACCACCGCTAGCCCAGTTGTGATACCACCGAGATAGAACCCAAAGTACGTCACGTGCTTGAACGTCAGCGAACTCATGAACGACGAGGTCTTGAACATGAGGTAGCCCACTACACCAACTCCAGCCACACCTGCAGCAAAATCCATCGAAGCAGCGAGCAAGCATGGATGAGAATGGACGACCCTGCCGTCAAGAGGAGAGGCTGTTGCCACATCAAACAGGCGCATGGTGGCGGCGGACCACGAAGGACCAAGGCACGCTTCCCACGTCCGACCAAACACCAAGCGGCAGAAGAGCGCAGTCACACAGGGGTTCCTCCTGTGCACGTACCAGCAGATATCAGGAGGACTCGCCGCGTTTTTTGCTTCACAATCTGAAATGTGGACATGTGTGCACGCTGTTGAAGGAGCACGCGAGGCTGGAGCATACTCCTTGGCCTCGGTACAGCCATGCACTGCCGCTGCACATGTCGTGCGACTGCTGTCGTCGCCGATGCCGTTGTTAGCGTTCGCCTTGCTGCTCGAAGCAGTGACGGCACCGTCTCCGTTAATCTCCTGCTTGCTCTCCCCACCAGTGCTGTTGCTGTTGTTGTTGTTGCTGTTGTTGCTGTTGTTGTTGTTGTTGTTGTTGCTGATGATGCCAGCATGTGCTGGCCCATCCTCCCCAAGCTTCTTCGCAGCAGCAGCAGCATCACGTTTGTCGTGGTGGCGGAACAAAAAAGAGCGGTGCAGTTGCTTCTTGGTGCCGGTTATGGAGGTGTGTCGAACATCTTCCTGTTATTTTCCGCAACACAACGGCGCAGTGGCAACAAACACAACCCCCCCCACACACACACACACTGTCTCTCTCTCTCTCTCTCTGTCTCTCACTCACTCACTCGCTCACACACACACACACTCTCTCACTCACTCACTCACTCACTCACTCTCTCTCTCACTCTCACACACACAAAGAACACACGCCACACGATGGAGAAGCCGAACATCATTGAGCACATCCACCATGGTGTGAATTACACGTTGTTTGATGGGAAGTGGGTGCCATCCAGCGCGCGCTGCGTGTTGCTGGGTCAGCATGCACGAGGCACGGGCGCATTGGAGGTGCTGCACATGTCCAAGGGCAAACTCACCAGCGTCACAAGCGTATCCAAGCCAAGCGGGTTCAAATGTGGCACGTTCGGCGCCAGCCCGCTTGAGGAGCGCAGCCTTGCCACGGGCTGCTTTGACGGCTCCCTCTTCATCTGGTGTGTGCGTGCATGTGTGTCTGTATGGGTATGTGTGTTTGTGCATATATGTGCGTGCATATGTGTGTGTGTGTGTGTGTTCGTATATCTGCGAGTGGTGGGTTAAGTGTTTGTTGCGTGGACATAGCGTAATATGCTTTGTCCGAAGTGACACACGCCTCACTGCCTTTTTCTCCTGATTTGTCTCGTGTGTGTGTGTGTGTCACTGCAGGGACTTGGAACGGCTGGAGGTTCCGTTGTATCACGCCAAGGGCCACACAGAGATTGTCAACTGCATCGACGGCTGCGGTGAGCATGCTTTTGATTTCCTCATGGCCACGCTCGTGTTGCTTGTTGTCATGCTCCTTGCTTTGCTTTGCGCTGTTCAATGTTCTTATCGTGAGGAATGGCCACCTTGCTTCAGGTGGGTTGAAAGGCTCTGGAGCACCCGAGATCGTAACCGGCAGCCGAGATGGTACGTGTGAGCACACACGCATGGCTATGAGTGTGTGCATGGGCATATGGGTGCGTGTATGTGTGTTTGTGCGTGTGTGTGTTTGTGCGTGTGTGTGTGTGTGTGCGAGTGTGCGTGTGTGTGTGTTTGTGCGTGTGCGTGTGTGCGTGCGTGCGTGCGTGCGTGCGTGCGTGTGTGTGTGTGTGTGTGTGTGTGCGTGTTGCCCCTGCGCTCCTCCTGCTTCGGTCATTGACCAAAGTGTGCCAAGCGTCACGGCTGACTGTTTGGCCTGCCAATTGTCCTCACCACCAGGGTCAGTAAAGGTGTGGGACCCAAGGCAGCCGGACGAGCCTGTAGTGGACATCTCGCCCGAGGAAGGGCAGCCAAAGCGCGACTGCTGGGCAGTTGCATTTGGTAACACAGCTCCCTTTCGCACCTGTCACAAGAGGCCAGAGAGCCGGGGGGGGGGGGAAGAGAGCGAGTCTGTCTTCGTGTGCCCGCGTGTGTCTGCGCGAGCGTTCATGTGTACACGTGCGCTTGTTTGCTACCTTCCACACACGCACACACACCTGAACACAATCAACACGCACACTTGAACACGTGCACACGCACACATCAACGCACACATGCACACACACACTCTGTCGACGGTGTGGGTTGGGCGCCACTCGCCGCAGGACCGCGACGTGTTTGTCACGTGCGGCGGCAACGGCAGCGTCAATCTGTGGAAGTACCACTACCCAAAGGCGCGTCAGGTCAAGGACGAAGAAACTGGGGAGATGCTTGGCGTGGCCGGCACCATGCGCCTCATCAACAACTCGGTCATCTCCACACAGCCAATCAACAGCTTCGACTGGCACACAGACATGGTGTGTGTGTGTGTGTGTGTGTGTGTGTGTGTGTGTGTGTGTGTGTGTGTGTGTGTGTGTGTGTGTGTGTGTGTGTGTGTACGCGTGACCGCACCCGTGTTTGCATGTCGTTTATGGTGTTTTGGCTGCTGCTTATGATCACCTTCTGCGCAATTCCAAACAAAAAGACAACACAAACCAAAACACAACGATAACACACAACCACACCACCACCACTTCTTCATCTCACCATCTGCCGCCGTCCCCCCCCCCCCACTTCCCATCCCCAAACACACACCACCACAACTAGCGCGGGCTGAGCTTGACGACGAGCTTCGACCAGACGGCGCGCGTCTGCCTCATCACCAACCTCAACCTCGTGTGACCCGTGCAAACCCGTCCAGCTCCGCCAACACCGCCATCGCACCTTGACCACTGCCGCCCTTCTTGTACATGCCACACACCCCATCCTCATCGCCATTTCCAGCTTCTTCGTCGTCACCGTCGTCGTCTTCGTCACCTTCGCATTCGCTCGTGCTGTTGATGGGTCTCCGCCGTCCAGCCCTGCTGCCCTTGCTGCCCTTGCTGCCCTTGCTGCTGCGTGCGGTTGGTGTCACTGCTGCCGTGTGCACGTCCATATAAACAGCACTGTCATCCAGCGTTGACATCTCGCGCCCGCCCTCGCTTGACTTCAATCCCACCCCACCATCACTGCGATACTTGTCGCCAGCATTAGTATCATCGTCGTTTTGTGCAATGCACATGCGTGGGCGGTGTGCAAATGCGTCCAGCTGTGCAGACGCGCGGCGCACTGCACACGCAATCGACCTTGATGACGAGGACGACGACGAGGATGACGTGACGAGTGGCGGGGGAGAGGTTGGTGATGATCGCCGGCTGTTGTGCATTGATGGCGATGGCGACGCTGTCGACGTCGGCGTGGCGCCCGAAAACACATCCGCACACGATGATGCTGGCGACGACAATGACGACATGCCTGCGCTGCTGGTGATCGAGGAGGTGACGGTCATTGTTGTCGTTCCACCGTCTGCACTCATCGCTTCAGCTGCTGCTGTTGTTGTTGTCTTGACGCTCTGGATCTTGAAGAACTTGCTGACGACCCGCCTGCCGTCGGTGCTGTGGCGCCGCTTAGAGAGACCAACGCTGCGGGCACGGCGCAGCGAACCTGCACCCCCAGACACACGCCCGCCACCATCGTTGCTGCTGCTGCTGCTGCTGCTGCTGCTGGGCGATGACAGCGGGGAAGGGCACGTGTGGCGGTGGCGGTCACGCACCGCTGACGACTCGCGGGAGACAGAGATGGACGAGCACGAAATCGACCGCCCGAACTTGGACGCAGCCGTGGGGGGCGCAAGCCCATCCGTCACCTCGTGTGCAACATCACCATCGTCGTCGTCGTCATCATCATCGTCGTTGTGGTCGTCGTCACCGTCGTCATCTTCAATCTCATCGGCAGTGTTCTTGCTGTTTGCATGGTTGCTGTTCTCCTTTCCAGCGCCTTCGCCCTCTGCGTCGACCTCCTCCTCCTCCTCAATGTCATCCTCATCATCATCAACAATCCTCTTCCGGGCCCTCCCCCGAACCCCCATTCTTTGCTTCTCATCCTCACCCTCATCCTCAACACCACCACCACCATCGTTGTCGCGTGCGGTGCAGGTGCTGGTTGACGCGGGCCTGCGCCCCTTGGTTGCTCCCGGCGGCCGGAACGACCTGCGCGCTGCTGCCGACACACGGGACGTGTACGCAGGCTGCTGCTGCTGCTGCTGTTGCTGCGGCTGTGATGATGATGACGAGGGTGAAGCGTAAGGCGATGGCGACAGGCGTGCGCGCCGCGCTGTTACAGTGGTGGAGGGGAACGACGGCGACGACGATGACGAGCGACGAAAGTGCGCAGACAGCAGCGCCCCCGTCGTCGACGTCGCAGCAGCGGCCGTTCGAGCTGACGATGATGACGATGATGGTGACGCTGACGATGGCAGTGATGGGCGGCTGTTGCGCCGTGTTAGGGACGCCAGCAGTGACGGTGATGACTTGGATGACGAAGACGACAGCGGGAACCCGCGCTGCTGGTGGTGGTGGCGGTGTGGTGGCGATGGGGTTGTGAGCGGGTGGCGGCGTGGCGTGTGCTCAAAACGAGCAAACACATCGTCAAGGTGCATCGGGCTCGATTGCTGCTGCTGGTGCTGCTGCCGGTGCCGGTGCTGCCGTTTGGTATGCTGCCTGTGGAAACCTGGCGCGGTGCTCCCGTCTCCCATATCATTCGCCGCCACCACCACCTCCCCCTTCGTCTGTTGCTGCGTGGTGTCGTCGTCGTTGCTGCTGTCGTGGCGACGTGGTGTGGCGGCGTGCTTGCCGAGTCTGCGGGCGGATGCTGTGATGAAGCTGTCGAGCTTGGCCTGCTTCTCGCGCTGGAGAATGGCTGGATTCACGCGCGCACGTGACAACGACGACGACGACGACGACGACGATGATGATGAGGACGACGACTCGTCTGGGAACGGCTCCTAAAGAGGCGTGAAGCGCATGGATGTGAATGGGTGGACGGATGAGTGGTGGTAATCGTGGTGGTGATGGTGAGGGCATGCATGGTCGGGCGGAGCAAAACGGGTCTCAGAAGTCAGGTGAGGTGAAGGAAGAGTATCAACTCGGCGTGCACCCGCAGAGCGAACAGCGTGGTGGGGATAGTGGTGCTATTTGGCTTAACATATCATTACCAGGGTGGTGGGGTGGAGCTCTCCCTTGCACATTCGCACGGCCACATCTGCATCCAGCATGCTGTCAACATTGCAAGCCAAGGCGCTTGTGATAGTGTGAAGAACCACAACACGACCTTCTGCATATCGAACACAGGAAATACACACAGTGCAGGCAGGCATCCAGGTCGACAGACTGACAGAAGCACACACACACACACACACACAGGCGCAAACACACACACACACACACGCAGACACACACACACACACACAGGCGCAAACACACACACACAGACACAAACACACACAGACGCAAGCACACACACAGAGACGCAAACACACACACAGACAAACACAGACGCAGACGCAAACACACACACACACAGACACAAACACACACAGACGCAAGCACACACACAGAGACGCAAACACACACACAGACAAACACAGACGCAGACGCAAACACGCAAACACACACGATCACGAACCAGCCAGCAAAGGCGATGCTGTGGTCTGGGACGCGCGGCGGTGTGAGGCGGCGCACGGTGGAGGTGACGGGGTCATACACGGGCTGGTGGTCAAACGTCAGCTCGGCGCGTCGGAACATTTCTGCATAGTCCGCAGGGACGCGGATACCGCGTGATGCAATCACCTGCACAATCTGTCATGGTGGTGGTGGTGGCAAGAGTGTGTGGATGAGGTCACACGTGTGAAAGTGGGGCGGAGATGCCAACAACGCGTTCAGTTCACACATACACACACACATGTGCACGCACATGCACAACATGCACACATGTACCATGACAACCTTGTCGATGTTGTCGTGGATCTTGGCAATCTTGAATGCCGTCTTGACACCAAGACCCGTTGGAGAGGGAAGGTAATCGCAGCCAGCAAGGATGCACATCTGCACGCGAGGTTGAAGCGCGCGCGCGTGTGTGTGAGCGAGTGCGTGTGTGTGTGTGTGTGTGTGTGTGTGTGTGTGTGTGTGTGTGTGGAGGTGAGCGCAAGTGAGAGGTGGCGGTACGTGTTGTTTGGGTGCGCCACTCCTGCACGCAGAGTGCAAAGCGACACTGCAACGCTCATGTTGCTTGTCGACACGTTGCATCACACACACACTCTCTCTCTGGCATACCTTTCGGAACTGGCGCTGTGTCCAGCTCATGAAGTTGATGGTGGTGGAAATCTGTGCCCCTTGAACTGCACACATGTACATGTACACACGCACAGAGGGCGAGAGGAAACGTCGATCAGTATCGTCAATCATCAGCTGCAGCTGTAGCAGTGAGAACAGCAGGCGAGCGGCACCGCTGAACACGTGACTTGGACACGGACCAGTCCCGTTATCACCACCATCACCACCATCACCACCATCACCACCATCACCACCAGGACAGACACGAGCGGACGTACACAGGCGCTGCATGCGGATCTCCTGGCCAGTGCCATACTCGTCCATCTTGAACAGCACCCTGAAGTGTTGGTGGCAGTCGACGTTGGTGGTGTTTGGTTGGTTGCGGAGATGCATACAAGCAAGCACGAAAGAGTGAACAGAGCCGAAAGAGTGAACAGAGCAACAACAACAACGCAAACAAACAACAACAACAGCAACAACAACAAACAAACAAACAAACAACAGCAACAACAACAAACAACAACATGCATAAACAAACACGTAAGGCACGAGTAAATCCCCCTCCAACACACACACACACACACACACACACACACACACACACACACCTTGGGCAGCCGTAGACGAGCAGGTCAGAGTCCTCAGTGATGACCGCGTGCACGTACTTGCTGGTGGCCAGAAACGCCAGCTGCGCATCTGCCTCGTACGGCGCAACCACACACTCAATCCCCGCCGCCCTGCACGCGCGCACCAGCGCATGTCCAATCTCTGGCGTAATGTCGATGGCGCGTTGGAAGTGCTCCAGCGCCTTTGAGCGGTGGCCCGCGCGCAGCAAGTCTGTTCCTTGCTTTAGATGGTTTCTCCGAGATCTGACAGGACAAGCACGTGTGTGTGTGTGTGAGTGTGTATGAGTGTGTGTGTGTGTCTGTGAGAGAGAGTGTGTGTGTACGTGATGGTGGACGTGCAAACAACCAATCCATCAGCCTCTGTGTGTGTGTGTGTGTGTGTGTGTGTGTGTGTGTGTGTGTGTGTGTGTGTGTGTGTGTGAGGGCGTGTCGACAGGGCGATTGGGTGTAAAAACCGCGACTGTGCAACGTGGAGACTGCTCACGTACTCTCTTCGCTGTTTCTCTTCTTCGCCCTTTGAGGGAAGGTTTCTGCCGTCCAACACGACAACAGGGGTCACGCCGTAATGCTGTAGCATTGCCAGCCGCTTCATGCAATATTGGATGTGCCTGCGGTTTTTGTGGCAAGTTGCAGTGCAAAGGGTGGGGGGGGGAAGAGCACAACAGTGAGTGAGAGTGAGTGAGAGGGAGTGAGAGGGAGTAGAGGAGAGAGTGAGACACACACACACATACACGCACATGTACATCCACACACACACACACACACACACACACACACACACACACACACACACACACACACACAGAGGCAGATGGGTTGGGTGTTTGCACGTCCACCATCCCTACCAACGCTGACCCGCTCTCCTTCCTGCCCCTCTTCGCGGCATATGAAACGTACAGGTCAGTCTTCTTGCCCATGGCCAGGTCTGCCGCACATCCATATGCGCCACGATGGAGCCAGCAGTACGAGTCAACGGCCACTTTCTTTCCCGCATACGCCTTGATGTGCATCTCCTGCGTTGCAGGCTGCAACAGCTGTAACAGTCCTTGAATTCCCATCCTGGCACAGCGCGCGCGTGTGCTTGTACGTGTGTGCCTTGTGTGGTTTTGTGCGTGCGGCGTGTCAGCCGGTGTTGTCGTTTTCCCGTCGCTGTCGTCGTCGTCGTCGTTGCTATTGTCCTTGTCGGTGCTAGTCCCCCACCCAATACAACAGCCAATCCGCGCACACGCCTCGGCTTGACACACACTCACACACACACGGAAACACGCGCACACACACTCTCACACAAACACGAAGACGCACACACACACAGCGTCTTCACTGGCTGCCGGCGGCGCTCAAACGCGTTCAAGCAGTTGGCGGGCAATCGTGGCGAATCGCGAATATCTTCTCACAAAAATCTCACCCACAGGTTTCTCAAGAAGACAAGCAAGGTGGGGCTGCGTCTTCGTCTTGTTTGGTGTGGTGCGCGGTTGTGGAGGGGAGGTTGCAAGCCGTGCACGCCACCCTGCCAAGTTGCCTACCTGCCTGCCACCCTGCCTGCCTGCCGACGTGTCTGCAAACAGCTGTTGGGTCTTTGCCTCACTCACACATCAAACTCGTGCGTGCCTCTCACGCGCAGGGCAACAAATCAACAGCAGCGCACGACGTGACGCACGACGCACCAAACGCACCCGCGCACAACCGTACCCCAATCACAAGCAAGCGAGCAAGCAAGCGTTCAACCTTGCCTGACGGCGCAACGCGTACCGGTCGGTGATGGTGTGGACTACAGCAGATGCAGAGCTGTGGCTTGTGTTTGTTGTTTGTATACTTGTGACCGCCGTCTCCGTTGCCCTCTTGTTTTGGTACAAGCTCCGCAAATCCACCAGCGGCGTCGTTGAACTGGACGACGAGGTTGTGTTGGGGGATCCATCGCTTCGCAACCACTCCCGCAACAAAACCGCGCCAGCAGGCAACGGCAACGCCTATCAGCAACAGCACCCGGCGGACGGTGATCCAGCAGCACCGCTGCCACAACTACCGCGCAACAGCAGCAGGCGCAGCCAGGCCTGGACACTCGACGACGACAACAACGAGAACAGCGACAAGGGCGACAACGGCGCCAAAGTAGACGGCGACGGTACCAGCAGCGCCAACGGCAGCCACCACGCAGGGCTTTTGGTTGGCCCAGGAACCCCAACCCCACTCACGGTCCCCGCAAACGCCTCTGCCGGCACGCCGCACCGCACGCTTGTGGACGCGGGCGAAAGCGCCAACACCACCCTCAGCCAATCACCGCCCCACCTGCAGCAGCAAGGCCGCGCCAGCTCCAGCCGCAGTGCACGCCTGTTCAGCCGACTCAGGGGCACAAGCAAGTCCGGAAGCACCACACCGCTGCAGACGCCGCGGGGAGCAGGGCGAGGCAGTGCAGGAGCCGCAGCAGACATGCGCACCACGCGCCACCATGCCTTTGACACGCCAGACCACCCGGGCAAGACCCTCCCGCAGCTGCTGCAGTCGACGGCCATCGCAGCCGAGGACGTGCGCGTGACGAAGAAGGAGTCTCCACTGGACACGCAGTTCATTGGGCGGTTCAGGCGGCCACGCGACCGCACACGTGCGCCGGGTGCCTTCCCCGTGGAGGCGCACATCATTGAGTTCTCGAATGATAAGCAGCGGGACCAGGATCTCCTTGCAGGCTTTGCCACCAAGTATGAAGGGTTTGTGTGCGAGTTTATCCAGGCGTTTTACGGCCTGTGCCAGCCCGTGCCAGGCAAGACGTGGCTTCTCCTAGAGGTGAGCGTGTGTGTGTGTGTGCTTGTGCTTGTGCTTGTGCTTGTGCTTGTGCTTGTGCTTGTGCTTGTGCTTGTGCTTGTGCTTGTGCTTGTGTGTGTGTGCTTGTGTGTGTTTGTGTGTGCTTGTGTGTGTGTTTGTGTGTATGTGTGTGTGTCAGGGATGCTTTGCATGTTTGCATGGAGGGTGATCCAGCGTGTCTGTAAGTGCCATAGCCCCCATCCTTCCTCCTCCTTCTCTCCAACACCTCACCGAATCTTACACGCACCACCACCACCACCACCACCATAACCACTACCACAGCGGCTGACCCCCGTGACGCTGCTGGGAGCGGCGCAGCAGTTGCAGCAGCAGCACCGCGAGCTTCTGCCGCACGAACACGTGCACTTTCTCAGCCAGGTCACCGCCGCCTTGCACTACCTGCACGGCAACAACATCTGCCACGGGTACCTTCGTCTTGACCAGTGCCACATCACGCCACAGAACACCATCCGCCTCGCCAGCTTCGACGCCTTTCGCCGGCTCCAGCTCCCCTACACACACGACGACGACGTGGTGCGTGCTGGTGTGTGCGTGTGCTTGTGTGTGCGTGTGCTCGTGTGCGTGCTTGCGTGCGCGTGCTTGCGTGTGCGTGCTTGTGTGCGTGTTTCTGCGTGTGCATGAGCGCTTGTTCATGTTCTATCATCCGATGCAACCATCCCCCCTCCCTCGCCCAACACCCAACACCCCTTACGCTCTCTCCTCACTCAACACCCAACACCCCTTACGCTCTCTCCTCTCCCCTGTGCCATCACCACCGCCGGCAGTACAATGCACCGGAGCTCATCCAGGACCGCTCTGCCGTGGCCGACGCCGCGTGCGACGTGTGGTCGTTTGCTGTGCTGGCCTGGCAGCTCGCAGCGCCAACCACCCGCCCATACGCAAAGGTCCCACGCTGGAGAGCGAAGGAGAAAGGAGGCGGCTGTATTCGTGTGTGTGTGTGTGTTGTGGCCACACGACGACCATCGCCACGACTTTTCCTCTCACCATCTACACACCACCACCACCACCATCTACACACCTCCACCTCCACCTCCTTATTGCATTGCCAGATATCTGTGAGCCGGCTGCTGGCGCATCTGCAGAGCGGCGGGCGGCTGGAGAAACCAGATGGCATGCAGGACGAGGTGCGAACATTATCTGCAATCCATGCGCCGTGCTGCCACAGTGGTGGTTGAGATGGTCGTTGTCATGTTGTACACGGGCTCTTATCATCCTCTTGGATCAGAAGAGGTTTCAAGAGCACACACACACACACACACACACACACACACACACACACACACGTGCGCACGACGTCTGTTCCCTGCTGGCGTCTCACATGTGCGTGTGTATCGTCAGGTGTACGACCTACTGCTGTCGTGCTGGAGCATTCGCGCCGCGGATCGCCCGCCCAGCGAGGCCCTCCACAGACAGGTGCTGCTCACGCTATTGATGGCGGCGGTGGCGAAGTTGCTGTTCATTATGTTGCGGCTCATTGTTTTGACACCTGCACACGCATGCAACTGCGCATCAGTGAAGATTGCGTCCGTTATCGACGTCATCATCATCATCATCATCATCATCATCATCATCATCATCATCATCATCATCATCATCATCATCATCATCATCATCATCATCATCATCACCACCACCACCACCATCATCATCATCATCATCACACACATCTTGCCGTGCTTCACTCTTGTACCAGATGCTTGACCTGCGGTATCAGCACTCGGCGCCCACGCGCCAGCTCAAGGACCTCCTGCCAGCCCTCAAGGTGTGCGCACACGTGAGAACATTATTGCATGTTTGTGTGTGTGTGTGTGTGTGTGTGTGTGTGTGTGTGTGTGTGTGTGTGTTGAGGATAGTCTGTGTCAGCGTGTGTGTGTGTAAGTGGATGTGCCACTGTGTCAGTGTGTGTGTGTGTGTGTGTGTTTGTGTCACTTTCTTGGCTCAAGCAGTCATCACTTTGCACTCATCCCACTTTCACGTCCACTCACACGCGTGCACCTCCTCTCGTCCTGTTGTGCACCCCCCACCCTCAATCCAGCCGTCGCATTCCTCCGTTGTGCTTGATTACGGTACGGTCCACGCCTGCAGCGCGTGCCAACGCATGCATGCATGCACTCATGCACACATGCGCACATCCACACTTGCATGCTTTTGCGCCCACGCAGCAGCATCAACCACTCAACCATTCCCTCACACCACCATCGTCACCACTCCCTACCCTCCCGTCAGGAGCACCCATCACCCAGCGCAACATGAGCGACGACGATGACGACGATGACATTGGAGAGATCAACCCATATGCCGTCGCCTCGAGCGTTCTCCCTGCGAGCGATGGTTCAGCAGCCTTTGATGATGATGATGATGATGATGATGACGACGACGATGATGATGAGAAGGACCCCAATGCCGTCTACGCAACACCGGTGCGTGTGTGTCTCGCTTGTTTTATGTGTTGTGTTGTGTGTGTGTGTGTGTGCGGGGGAGGGGGTATCAGGCATGTGCACTTGATATTTTGTGTGTGTGTGTGTGTGTGTCTTGTGCTGTGCCTTGTGTGTGTGTTGTGTTGTGCCTTGTGTGTGTTTGTGTGTGTGTGTGTGTGTCTGACGAGCGAGCAGCGGGAGCACTTCTGACGACAGCATTGCCTCCATCGCCCTTCGTTCCTCCATTTCCGTTTCAGGTGAAGCGCTCCGACCGCGCTGTCGTCACCTTTCCAAACCCGCCACCGCTGCCATCGGTGTGTGATCCACACTAGCATGAGGAAATATGTGTGTGCATGTGTGTGTGTGCGACTTTGTCTTCACGTCAATACCCGCACAAAAACATGAACTAACCCCCTCCCCCCCCCCCCAACACGCGCGCACGCACCACCACCACAACAACAACCAACGTCTGTGGTTTCCACATGCGCGTGGCAGCGCTCGTACGATCGCTCGAGCATGCAGGAGCTGGTTGACCCCGTGGACGGAGCACCATCAGCGTCCGCACCAGCGCAGAGGCCAACGACGAAACCAAAGCCGAAGCCGCGTCCATCAAAGCAACGCGAACAACAGCAGCCGCAGTTACATGCACCCTCAGCTTCATCAACAGGTGCTGTCACACCACCACTGCAGCCAGCATCACCGTCATCAGCACCAGCACCAGCACAGGCGCCAACATCGTCATCGTCAACACGTGGACGGGAGCGGAAGCAGCAGGAGGACGAGGCAGAGGAGGATGACAAGGCGGTGAGCACGCGAGAGGTGTGGAGATTGGACGCATGGGTGTGCGTGTTGGTTCGATTGATCGGTTGTTTCATTACCATGTTAGTGCGCGCGCACTTTTGCAGGTGTGCAGGTGTGTATGTGTGTATGTGTGCGTGCGTGTATGTGCGTGTGTATGTGTGTGCGTGTGTGCGTTGTTGAGCGACGTTGTTGTTGAGTGACACCAAGTGTCCATTTCGCGTGCAGTGTCTCACGTGCGTATGCGTTGTTTTCGCATTTCTCTCGGCTCCAGCACCTGACTGCGCAGTGGTATCTTGCAAACCACCAGAAGAAGGCAGCACAGAATCTCATGCGGCAATCGGTATGAACACTGCTGTGTGTGTGTGAATGTGATTGTGTCGTGCGTGGTCGTCGTGTTGTGCATGGTGATATCTGACATGCGTGCTGGCTTTCCCCACATGCGATGTACTCTGCATTGTTTGCAATCTCTTTCGGGCACCTCATCCCAAACAACACCATGCATGCACGCGTGTATCTTTACTTCTGTTGTATGTCTGTTGTGTGTGTGTGTGTGTGTGTGCTCTCTGGTGTTCGTGATAGGACATGCAAGATGGGACGTTCCTTGTGCGCCCGAGCAAGACTGGGGACTCGTTTGTTCTCCTCGTTGCCTTTGAGGGCACCATCCACACATACCGCATCCACGTGGTTTGTCAAGTCAAGCGATGGAAACATGGAAAGGGGGGGGGGGAGGGAGTGCCTTCCACGGTGATGTGATGTGTGTGTGTGTGTGTGTGCGTGTACTCTAATATACCACACATGCGCGCGCACACAACGATGGTCACTCACCAAACACACGACACCTTGCGTACATGCACACTCAACAGGAGGAAGGTGCAACGCCTGACAAGTGTTGGTACTTCATTAACAAAGCAAACAGCTTCCCCACCCTCTCTCGTCTCATCGAATTCTACAGGCAGCCATCTCTCCCTGGTCTGTCTTTGTTGCTGCTGCTGCTGCTATTGCCATTGCTGTTGTTGCTGTTGCTGCTGCTGCTGTTGCTGCTGCTGCTGTTGCTGCAATATCTCCAACTCTCCGTATGGTGTGCTCACCCCGCTGCTTTGCTATCATCCTCACTCACTCCCACAACACACGCATACACACACACACACACACACACACACACACACACACACACACACACACACACACACACACACACACACACACACACACACACACACACACACACACACACACACGACTGCTGCTGACAGCGGGCACGAAGAAGCTGCGCACCCGTCTTCGGTTTCCGTGCCAGCGACCGGTGCAGGACATGTCGTACACATCCGAGGTTGGTGTACATGCGTGTGCACACACACACATGTGGAGAAAGCTCTCACAGATGTGTACTGGTTTGCAACCCAGGGTTCTTCAACCCTGTTCGTGGCCCTCCACACAAAACGTTCACACACACACACACACACACGCACGCGCACACACACACACACACACACACACACACACACACACACACACACACACACACACACACACACACACACACACACACGCACACACACACCCATCCTCATGCATTGACACACATGTATACACACTCACCCACATTCGGTTGCATTGCGGCACCATCGCCAGCTTGCGTCGACGGAGCGGAGCTTGACGCGGCGACAGCGGATGGGACTGAACGATTTGGACGACTCGTACCCGCTCACAGAGCTGTAGCCAATGATGATGATGATGATGATGATGATGATGATGATGATGATGATGATGATGATGATGATGATGGTGATACTGTCTCTGTCGCTTTGTAGGGACTATCTAAGAATGACATGTGGGTCTTATTGTTTGTTTGCATCTTCCTTGTGTGTTTTTTCTGTCTTGCATCGTGTGCCCCTTGCTGCTTTTCCTTTATCGCCCAACCTGTTTTCTGTTACAGTCGAGCATGCATCTCCTCTTGCCCCCCTGCCCCCCCCTCTCTCTGTGTCTCTGTCTCCACATCTGTCCACGCTTGCCCCACCACAAACAACACACACGCACTCGCCCCCCTTCCTGTGTGCTTCTCTTTCTGGCTCTTTCAGCCCTGCATCTCCCTTTGGTTTGCCTTGCTTTTCGGTCCATTACTAGTTGATATTGAAGTGAACGCGACAGCCCTCAAGCACTAACGTCAATTTGAGCAACAGAAGGTGATGCAGAGAAGCAGGAGCAATTTGACAAGAGTCCACGCACACACACACACACACACACACACACACACACACACAAAAGCAAGCAAACAAACAAACACACACACATACATACATACACACACAAAGTCAGTAGCCGAGCACGAGGCTTGATGACGAGGCGTAGCTCGGCGCTCCAAACAGCCGGCGCCCAAGGTAGACGCCCGCCAACACGCCAGCGACAATCAGCCCAGGATACAGGTACCTGGTGGGGATGGCCCTTGCATCGGCCTCAACGCGCTTCTGCAGCCGCTTCTGGTACTGCTCCTTCAGCCGCAGCTCGCGGTCGTAGCGCACGCGCAGGTCCTCGGCAGACAGCGCGTCGACATCGTTGCTGCCAACACCGGCGTGGCGTGGCGTGGCCCCCTGTCGAGCCAACTGTGCAAGCGCGGCGTCGGCGAGCACAAGCGCAGCCATGCTCTCCACAATGGGCACGGCGCGCGGCACAACGCACGGGTCGTGTCGCCCCTTTGCCGCCACCACGTCCTTCTCGCCGCTGAAGTTGGCCGAGGTCTGCGCCTGCCCAATGGTGGCGGGAGGTTTGAATGCGACGCGGAAATAGATGCTTTCGCCATTGCTGATGCCACCCTGAATGCCGCCGCTGTTGTTGGTCTCCGTGCCCAGCGACGTGCCTTTCTTCACAAACGCGTCGTTATGCTCAGACCCACGCAGCTTTGTGCCCTCAAAGCCAGTCCCAATCTCAAATCCCTGCAGCGAACATGACGTCGTGAAGATGGTGGTGGTGGTGGTGAAGGGGACAGCGGGGATGCATGTGGAATGTGAAGGAATGTGTTACGGTCGCATATACCAAATCAACAAACGTACAACACATCAAACATTGTTACACTCAAGAAGCACACACACACACACATGCGCACACACATGCACACACACACACACACACACACACACACACACACACACACAAGCATCACCTCGTACCGTCTCGCGTGCGCTGGAACGACCGCCACCACTGGACGCATGCACGCCGTACTTGGTTGTGTACGTGTAGTCGGCGTGCGATGGGCGCGGGGCATGCCGCGTGGAGTTGTAGTCGCCTGGCTTCTGGTCCTTGTTTGCCACGAACAGCGCAACTGGCGTGCCCAGCGTTCGGCCAGACTCCGTGCCAGAGAGGATTGAGACCTTGTCTGCCTCGTTGCGTGGGGTGGTGAGCTTGCTCTGTCCTGGACGGCGGCGTGTCAGCTGCGGCTGGATGTCCTCCTCCGACAGCTCCAGCAGCGGCGGCACCCTTGATCCCGTGGTAGTGTGTGCATGTGTGTGTGTGCATGTGTGTGTGTGCATGTGTGTGTGATTGTACAGTGTGTATGTGAGTATGTGCATGTACATGTGTGTATGTGTATGTGAATGAACATGTGTGTGACAGTACACGTGTGTGTGTATTTGATCGTGCACCAAAGCGTTCACAGCACACATACACACATGCACACATGCACACTCGTGCTCGCATTCACCAGCAAGCCTTTGTTCACTGTCACGGCCGTAACTCACCCATCGACGATGCAGCCAACGCCTTTGCAGTGCGACTCGCCAAAGGTCGTCACGCGAAAGTACTTCCCAAACGTGCTCATCCTCGCCCGTGCGGGTGCTCAACTTGCCTCCACCTAACCAAACACCGTTCGATCGACTGTGCGAGCACGAGTGTTCACACACGCGACACACACACACGCGACACACACACACGCGACACACACACGCACACGCACACCACAACACTTCGCGTCAACCACGCAGCTGTCCTTGCTTGCTTGCTTGCTTGCTTCTTGCTCTCTGACTGCGCGATTTTCGTTCTTGCGTAGTGTGTGCGCTTGGTGTTTTGCTGACGAAGATTGACGCCAACACAACGAACAAGGAAGCCAGAAGAAGGAAGCTTGGTCTGATC